GCTAATAGGGCATAACACTAAGCAAAACCAGAACTTAACTGGAACTGAATATAGACTGTTTTATTGATCTGTTCCTGCTTCTGATGTGAAAACTATCCCATCACTACATTTATGTTTCCATTTTGTTAAATATAATTATTTTTCATTAGGCTTTCTGTAAGAGCTCCAGCCAAGAAAAACATCTTGAGTATTTAGAGATACTCCGGACACCTAATCCAGCTTATTGGGTAACTGCTTTTAAGAAGTCCCCTAGATAGAGAAATCCCTTCTATCGTTCCTTCTCGTTTTATAGAAGCATCATAACACTATTGCCCTACCCGGACACTGGTAGTCACATCCAGCCTGGTATAGTACTCAGCAATGGAAAAAATATACTTGGGTGTGGCCCCTACAGACCACACTATCACCTGAGCGTTCAGTTACAGCGGTTTTTCACAGATTCATGGATTGAAGAAAACGACTGGCCGCATGCAAAACAAAGAGCAGTCTCTTCTAAAACAAGAGACCCTTTATACAGTAAGCAGGCTCAGCATCCCACTTCAGAAGGATGCAGCGGCAAGAGAATATGAGCCTCAACTTATATTAAAAAATGGTAACCTGGTGCATATATATCCTTCAAGCCCACAGACATAATTGTGAATTATTACTGTTTGTTATTTTAAATATCAGCTGTATCAGAAACCTCATCCTGACCTAAGTTCTATTACCCAGATGCTGTGCAAACAATGCAGAGGTATACTGCAGCTCCTTTGGGATGCTGTTGTAAGCAAAGTTGTTGCTTTTATATCAGACAGTATGGTTAAAACAGATTACTTCAAATATATCATCTTTTCAGGGATCCATCTAACCTTTTGGATACATTTCTACTTTTACACAATAGTCCTCATAGGCTCAATGACCTTTATTATTTTTCTCTCAATCCTTGGTTATAAGGAATGTTATTAGCAATGCTTTGCTCATCGGCTAAACCTGTGACTGTTTTCATGCTCTTCCAAATGCAAAATAAAATCTCATCTTAGGCCTCCTACTTCAGTAACAAAGGTGTGTCAAGTCAGTCCTACTGGCTCATGTTACAAGTGGCAACTTACTATACCACTGTAATTGGATCGTTTTCAGCATATGCCCGTTTCCTCAAAGCTACAGGCGGGGCCTGCCTCTGTTCTCGTCATCAATCCTGATGTCTCAAAGGTCTTGGCTAGGTAGCATGAAGAACCTGGACTGCTTCACCTTTTTTAAGGGACAATTGGATGAAAGGGGTTCAAACTTTAATGAGTATTTCTTTTTTTTTTCCCCTCAATGTAGGACCAACATACTTTGATGCAACCTAAACTCTTTGCCAAATAATCTAACCCAGATCTGCAACAGCCTCCTCTAAACTGAATCTGTCACCCTATGCAAGACTTCACTACATTAACTTAAATTCATGTCAAGTTAAACAAAGGAACGTTTCTTGTATATAGGATTTCTTCTACACACCCATTTCCTGGTAGGTTTCTGTACTTTTTGCTGATCTTTTATTGCTGCCCACATGCCAGGCACTCTTCTGCCAGCACCTCAATATCCCTGTTCTGAAAAGATCTGCCATGGATTTATTCTAAAATATAAAATTTGACTGCTCATATATGGTCAGATATGCAGCCCAGTGTATATATAGCAAATAGGTTTTGAAAAACACAGGTTTTCCAACAAGTGTTTACATTTCCATTTAATATGTGAACTTTCCCATTATATAATAAGAATATGAAGTACAGAAAAATTAAATTATTAAGATAATGATCTGGGAAAGAGAAAGCTTAGTGTTTTAGAGAGTCATCTTCTGCATCTAGTGGAAATAGCACATACACATTATAAAGTTGGGCACAGTACAGTAATACATAGGACATAATTTTCCAATTTCCTAGAAGAGTCATGAAAGCCATTTACAAACAACTAGCTCATATTTTCTCCAGAGTAAATCACATGAAATACATGTAGAAACTGGACTAAGGAGGGATTGTATAGCAGTGCCATTAAAACAGTCAAAAAAAGCATGACTGATCCTGCAGTTGAATCTGAGTAGCCATACACCTGAGCAAGACCAAGAACAGTTTCTCCAAAAAGTCTGATCAAAATTCACTAATAAAATCAGACAAAACAATAATATTAGCTTTTAAAGAGTCTGACAGTACAGTAAGACCATTGAAAATATCCCTGTTTTATCCATTACATTCCAATAAAAATCATAATCTGAATTACAAGTATACTGCATATCCGCATAAGCACCAAGATAATATAAAGTAAAAACTTATCCATCAGGTCCCTCTGATAAATGGTCCCCTATACAAATGCAATTTTTTAATGTACATTTAAGTACTTTTGGCAAGAGGTACAGATTCCACAAAAGAGAAGTCACTGCAAAGTCTGAAAAAAATTCTAAAACTTGAAAACTTGAAAAAAGATCAAAGTTAGAGCATTTTCTAATGGTCTGACACATAATAGATTTTGTCAATAAATTCTGGTTTTAGAAACAGCAAAATTCACTCCAGTTCCTGAGATAAACTGCAGATCAATTGTGAAGATTTACCAGATTGTACCACACTCTTTCTCACCTTCTTTTTACACACTGCAAACAAGGTTTGAACTGAAGCTTCTGCTAAACTGACAAGTCAGCAAAGCATGTGAAAGATCAAAACATTCACATTTCCTTTTCCACTATAAAAACAAGAGACTGGCAGGGTAGGGCAGAGACAGATAGACTTTAGCCACAGCCTGTCAAACTAATTTCCAGAGGCAGGCAGCTGTTTTAAATTAACTGCACTCGCATCTTTTAAATTAATCTAATTCTTTGTTTCCATCCCGCTTTCACTGACAACTGTGCTCTTATTCATCCATCTGCTGTTTAAGAAAGCATACCGTACATGAGTTCAAAATCCTAGGGTCAAATTTTTTGAAAGAGCATGAGTCACCTAATAGCTCAGCAGGTCTCCGATTGTAGACTGGAACCATCAGTGTGCTTCATTACTACCAGCCATATGGTCAGTTCCTAACTTAGCATTAATTTTGTGCTCCATCTTCTGTAAAACTGCTGGAAGATCCAGAACAGAAGAAATAATATAATGAGGTACGGGGGAGGTATCCACCGGGGTAGTCATTGCTTTGTTTAACCAGACAGTTGCTTTCAAGCCGGCATTCAGGCCTCCTTGAATATCTGTATCTAGAGAGTCACCAACCATAACGCACTCTGCAGGCTGCACCCCCAGGAGATCGCAACAGTAATGAAATATGGATGGCGCCGGTTTCTCTTCTTTCTGCTCTCCTCCCACAACGATGGCATCGAAGTAGGGCTGACAGGCGCACGCTTCGATCTTCTCCCTCTGCGTCCGTTTGTCGCCGTTAGTTAAGAGCAGCAAGCGGACCCCTTTCCGCAGCTCGGTGAGCATGCCCCGCGTGTCCTCGGCCAGGGTGAGGTGCTGGAGGCGGGTCGTTTTCCACAAGAAATAGCACTCGGCGGCCAGGTTTCGGTTCGCCTCCCCCCCGATCGTCTCTTGGATCGCCTCCTCCCAGTGCGAAATCCGCAGGTCGGTGATGCACATCTTGGCGGGATCGTGACACTCCTTGAGAAGCTTGGCCTGGACCTTATCGCAAATCACACGGGCTTCTCCCTCGCCGTAGTGGTGCTTCGACTGCAGGGCATTTATCACCTTTAACAGACAAGAGGCCCTTGTCAGTGGGCTACACGCACCGAGCCCGGCGCCGCGCACCCCCCTCACTCCCAGC